CTTGATTGCATTCTTCTTACTTGGTTCGTGCTTGACTTTCCTCCTCTGAAACGGCCTCCCATCTCCCCTTACAGCCGTCCATTACCACCAGTTTTTGAAACTTGATTTCATCTTCTTACTTGATCTTCTTCTTGAAACTGAATCTTCCTCTTGGGGCTTGATTTTCCTCTGGTAACTTAATTTTCCTCATCTGACTTGATTTTTCACTTGTTACTTAATGTTCCTCTTGGAAAGTGATTTTCCTCTTCTAACTTGATTTTCCTCTAAGTTCTGACTTGATCTTCCTCTTCAAACTGAATCTTCCTCTTGGGTCTTGATTTTTCACTTGTAACTTAATGTTCCTCTTGGAAAGTGATTTTCCTCTTCTAACTTGATTTTCCTCTAAGTTCTGACTTGATCTTCCTCTTCTCACTTGATTTTCCTCTTCTCACTTGATTTTCCTCTTTTCACTTGATTTTCCTCTTCTGACTTGATTCGTGCTTGATTTTCCTCTTCTGAAACGGCCTCACATCTCCCCTTACCGCCGTCCCTTACCACCAATTGTTGTAACTTGATTTCATCTTCTAACTTGATCTTCCTCTTGGGGCTTGATCTTCCTCTTCTAACTTGATTTTTCTCTTTTAACTTGATTGTACTCTTCTGACTTGATTCGTGCTTGACTTTCCTCTTCTGAAACGGTCTCCCATCTCCCCTTACAGCCGTCCCTTACCACCAATTGTTGTAACTTGATTTCATATTCTTACTTGATCTTCCTCTTGAAACTTAAACTTACTCTTAGGGCTTGATTTTCCTCTTGTAACTTGATTTTCCTCGTTCTGACTTGTTTCGTGCTTGATTTTCCTCTTCTGAAACGGCCTCACATCTCCCCTTACCGCCGTCCCTTACCACCAATTGTTGTAACTTGATTTCATCTTCTTACTTGATCTTCCTCTTGCAACTTAATCTTCGTCTTGGGGCTTGATCTTCCTCTTCTAACTTGATTTTTCTCTTTTAACTTGATTGTACTCTTCTGACTTGATTCGTGCTTGACTTTCCTCTTCTGAAACGGCCTCCCATCTCCCCTTACAACCGTCCCTTACCACCAATTGTTGCAACTTGATTTCATCTTCTTACTTGATTTTCCTCTTGAAACTTAATCTTCCTCTTTGGGCTTGATCTTCCTCTTCTAACTTGATTTTTTTTCTTCTAACTTGATTGCAGTCTTCTGACTTGATTCATGCTTGACTTTCCTCTTCTGAAACGGCCTCCCATCTCCCCTTACAGCCGTCCCTTACCACCAGTTGTTGTAACTTGATTTCATCTTCTAAATTGATCTTCCTCTTAAAACTGAATCTTCCTCTTGGGGCTTGATTTTCCTCTTGTAACTTGATTTTCCTCATCTGACTTGATTTTTCACTTGTAACTTAATGTTCCTCTTGGAAAGTGATTTTCCTCTTCTAACTTGATTTTCCTCTAAGTTCTGACTTGATCTTCCTCTTCTCACTTGAATTTCCTCTTCTGACTTGATCTTCCTCTTCTCACTTGATTTTCCTCTTCTAACTTGATTTTCCTCTTCTGACTTGATTTTCCTCTTCTCACTTGATTTTCCTCTTTTCACTTGATTTTCCTCTTCTGACTTGATTCGTGCTTGATTTTCCTCTTCTAAAACGGCCTCCCATCTCCCCTTACAGCCGTACCTTACCACCACTTGTTGTAACTTGATTTCCTCTTCTTACTCTTACGTGATTTTCTACCTATAACTTGATCGTCCTCTTCTAACTTGATTTTTCTCTTTTAACTTTATTGTACTCTTCTGACTTGATTTTCCTCTTCTCACTTGATTTTCCTCTTCTCACTTGATTTTCCTCTTCTGACTTGATTCGTGCTTGATTTTCCTCTTCTGAAACGGCCTCACATCTCCCCTTACCGCCGTCCCTTACCACCAATTGTTGTAACTTGATTTCATCTTCTTACTTGATCTTCCTCTTGCAACTTAATCTTCGTCTTGGGGCTTGATCTTCCTCTTCTAACTTGATTTTTCTCTTTTAACTTGATTGTACTCTTCTGACTTGATTCGTGCTTGACTTTCCTCTTCTGAAACGGCCTCCCATCTCCCCTTACATCCGTCCCTTACCACCAATTGTTGCAACTTGATTTCATCTTCTTACTTGATCTTCCTCTTGAAACTTAATCTTCCTCTTTGGGCTTGATCTTCCTCTTCTAACTTGATTTTTTTTCTTCTAACTTGATTGCAGTCTTCTGACTTGATTCATGCTTGACTTTCCTCTTCTGAAACGGCCTCCCATCTCCCCTTACAGCCGTCCCTTACCACCAGTTGTTGTAACTTGATTTCATCTTCTAAATTGATCTTCCTCTTAAAACTGAATCTTCCTCTTGGGGCTTGATTTTCCTCTTGTAACTTGATTTTCCTCATCTGACTTGATTTTTCACTTGTAACTTAATGTTCCTCTTGGAAAGTGATTTTCCTCTTCTAACTTGAATTTCCTCTAAGTTCTGACTTGATCTTCCTCTTCTCACTTGAATTTCCTCTTCTCACTTGATTTTCCTCTTTTCACTTGATTTTCCTCTTCTGACTTGATTCGTGCTTGATTTTCCTCTTCTAAAACGGCCTCCCATTTCCCCTTACAGCCGTCCCTTACCACCAATTGTTTTAACATGATTCCCTCTCCTTACTTGACCTTCCTCTTTGAACTTAAACTTCCTCTTGGGGCTTGGTTTTCCTCTTCTGACTTGATTCGTGCTTGATTTTCCTCTTTTAAAACGGCCTCCCATCTCCCCTCACAGCCTAACTTGATTGTACTCTTCTGACTTGATTCGTGCTTGACTTTCCTCTTCTGAAACGGCCTCCCATCTCACCTTACAGCCGTCCCTTACCACAAATTGTTGTAACTTGATTTCATCTTCTTACTTGATCTTCCTCTTGAAACTTAATCTTCCTCATTTGGGTCTTGATCTTCCTCTTCTAACTTGATTTTTCTCTTCTAACTTGATTGTACTCTTCTGACTTGATTCGTGCTTGACTTTCCTCTTCTGAAACGGCCTCCCGTCTCCCCTTACAGCCGTCCCTTACCACCAATTGTTGTAACTTAATTTCATCTTCTTACTTGATCTTCCTCTTGAAACTTAATCTTCCTCTTGGGGCTTGATTTTCCTCTTGTAACTTGATTTTCCTCGTCTGACTTGATTTTTCACTTGTAACTTAGTGTTCCTCTTGGAAAGTGGTTTTCTTCTTCTAACTTGATTTTCATCTTCTGACTTGTTCTTCCTCTTCTCACTTGATTTTCTTCGTCTAACTTGATTTTCCTCTTCTGACTTGATTCGTGCTTGATTTTCCTCTTCTAAAACGGCGTCCCATCTCCCCTTACAGCCGTACCCTACCACCACTTGTAACTTGATTTCCTCTTCTTACTCTGACGTGATTTTTCACTTCTTACTTGATCTTCCTCTTCTAACTTGATTTTTCTCTTCTAACTTGATTGTACTCTTCTGACTTGATTCGTGCTTGACTTTCCTCTTCTGAAACGGCCTCCCATCTCACCTTACAGCCGTCCCTTACCACCAATTGTTGTAACTTGATTTCATCTTCTTACTTGATCTTCCTCTTGAAACTTAATCTTCCTCAATTGGGGCTTGATGGGAGGGGGGGCGCGACGGATTTTTTTATGGGGGGGCGTAAGGGGCTGCACGCAGCTGCAGACTGCCTAACACCTTATTTACCAAAGACAGTAAAAATACTAACAGAGACAACATCATACCATTGCCATTGCACTCTGTACTCTTATCATGATGTGACAATCTTGTAACTTAAGAACAAGCAGAAGCTGGAGTTTCATATCACTGATGCAATTAAAAATAGCTTGATAGAGCGTGTGAAGCCGCATTTCTGTCAGGATATTTAATGATCTACCGTCGGTAGCTGTGTAATGATTGGCTTGTTTCGTTGAAATAATTGCTTAATTCGTTGAAATAATTAATCTACTTTTGGCTATGTTAGAGAAAATAGACATAATTGTGGCTATGTTAGAGAAAATACACATAATTGTGGACCAAACATTTAGCAAATCGATCTAATATGTCAAAGAATAACTGCGTCATCTGTACTTCATTCCTATTGAAATTAAGGCCTATATGAGATGGAATCCGCACGACTCCTATCCCTTTGGTCTTGTGACCATGGAGTTTCAATTGGACTCACGTCTAATAGCTCCACGTTCCAATTAATGGCAACAGACCAAGGACAGACGTGTAGACGGTGCAGTCAATGACATTGATTTGTAACTAGTTCCAGTCAACTAAACTTCATTTCAATTACCAGCCTCAAACGTGCCTACAATTAATGGTAGGGAGTTAGGAAAATTGGACGCAATATTAAAATAATATATTTAGGGTATTTTATGGTGATGCTTGAACACGATTTTGAGCATGTGACCAGAAGCAACCAATCACTCGTTCCCACGTCCATTGGCAAGAGCGTACGATCGTGGTATCTACTCATCACTACAGTAATAAGAACACTTCAGTGTTGCGCATCAATTGGACTCCTAGACTACTGAAAATCAATCGCTTTTGCGGAAAAATCGCAGTCTTGACAGGGGCATCTTCAGCAATACTCTCTGTATACTCGCACACCATGTGGTTTTCTGCAAGGTGTTTAAATTTCCAGTAACCCACTACTACGCCTAGTTACATCTGTTGAACAGAAACATAATTTTGCGATGGAACCTTCATGTCTCTATGACCTTGGCAGAGAGATTCTCAAGATAAGTTTAGTAATCATGACAGTTCTAGTTCTGGTCAATGGATTCCAAGGAGATCACTGTGGAAACCGCAAACACATTTTTATTGCTGCAAAAAATCGTGCACTTCAGACTTCTACATTTAGAGAGGAACAGGTCAAGTCTGCTGTCCGTTGTGTTAGCTACTGTCATGCTGATAACAACTGCCGATCTGTGAATTATCTTGAAACAGATCAACTTTGTCAAATGAACAATCTGACAAGGATGCAAAATCCTGCTGATTTCTTTACACACTACGGCAGTGTGTACTTTGATGATGATGTAGACACATCTCTCTTCTCTGTGCCTCAGTTCAGAAGTTGTGATGAGGTCCTTCAAGCTGGTCATATTGTGAGTGGTATCTACACGATATTCCCAGCTGGATTCAATGATGGGCTACAGGTCTACTGTGACATGGAGACTGATGGAGGGGGATGGATCGTCATTCAGAGGCGTCTAGATGGCAACGTTGACTTTTACCGCAACTGGGCTGACTACCAGGTTGGATTTGGTAGCTTGTCTGGTGAGTTCTGGCTTGGGAATGACAACCTACGCAGACTGACTGAGACTGAAGGTAAGTGGCAACTACGAATTGACTTAGAGGACTGGGAGGATAACACGGACTGGGAGAATAACACGGCCTGGGCTGAATATGACGACTTTCAGATTCATGGAGATAACTACACACTCCAAGTCAACTCATACAATACCCGCAGCACTGCAGGAGACTCACTACAAACTCACAATGGAAGGATGTTTTCAACAAAAGACAAGGACAATGATATAATCGTAAAATCTTGTGCCATAACGCGCACAGGAGCGTGGTGGTATGACAATTGTTATCGATCTAATTTGAATGGAAGATTTGGGCAAGGAAATGGTGTGCGTGGTATAGTATGGAAATCTTGGAGACAGGATCACTATAATCTCAAACGCTGTTCTTTGAAAATTAAACATTAAGAACAACAGCCAAACTGTTGCTCAAAGGCGCGGAATTGGATTTAACTAATCACAACGTTTTCATCCAGATTTTCTTTGGAAAAGGGAAGAATGATATTTGGTGATTATTATGATGCCTTTTGGATTCATTTGATAAAAAGCAAATTTGGGGGATTTCGTTTAAAGGAAAGGGGCCAGGATTCCATTTTAAGATGGAAAATTACATAAAAGTAATGGCAGGAAAATGGCAGAAAAAGAATGGCCACTTTCGTTACATATAATTGGATCCGTTTATGAAATAGTATTTCAAGTATTAATTTTAACGTTTAGGAAAACATAAATATAATAATATGATAAATACGAATGATGTGTTGGCAAACACAAATGCCTTGCTGAGCCCATTTAAATCTTTTGACTTAGCTACACAACTTGATTTGGCAACTGTTTCTGAATTTATGATTGGAAATCATTTGAACCATCATGATCTTGACGTTTGACCTTAAGGTTCCGTTACAAAATTAATGGGCTACTTGGGACACTAAGATCAACCCACATACCAAATTTGAAGTTGACAATGCATGAAATTGTTGTAGACATATTCTGCAGAAACTTGTCTATAATTTTAACCATAATGACCTTGAACGTTTACCTATGGGTAAAAAACAATAGGCTTCTAGGGCACTACAAGACCAACCTACATACCAAGTCAACTCTTACAATAGACCATGTGCCCTGTGACGTCATACCAACAGGCAACTGAAGGGCAACCGACTGGTAACCCTAACATTTTCCCACATTAAACACTTGATGACAACACTTTTACACCAAGCACATTTCAAGGATCCAAATGCAGCGCAGAAGAGAACATTTTGCTGAAAGTCAAATCAAATCAAATCAATTCGACAGATATTTTCACATTGACATGATGATATACAAGAAAATGATGATATACAAAACCTTATTCGCAGAACACATGTTAAATTTCAGTCACAGTCCTACTGGACGTTTTCAACATCTTTTTTGGTCCAAGTAATCAGATTACTACCCAAAATCAAAAGTAAACGTACTTAGATCACAATATCATTTCTCAGAGAAGACTGCTCTATGCCGTTGTGCGGTGACAGTGTTTGCAATAATAAAAACAGTTAGTTTTGCAGCTGCATTAAATGATACCCTTATCACTACATCGGTATCAAAAAAAAAGGGTGAGCAGCAGCAGCCCACTATGTAAACATACCTGTATAAATTTAAATTAAAAATGTAGAGCTTTGTACAGGATACAAACAAATACAAAATGTAATTTGATTTTCTTTTGCAGTCACTTGTCAAACGTTTTCCTTTTTTGCAGGAATGACTTTTAGAAATTTGTGACAAATGATCTACATGCAAGGTGTTTAAATTAGTAAACGTTTTGTACATAGCTTGTTATATGTTATTTGTTTGCAGGTTGTTGTCATAACTGAAGTTTAAATAGGAAATTCACCTTAACTTTGCAGTTACTGAAGTGATTCTCTTTTCAAGTTAACCATTTCGAGGATAAAATTTTGTGTGAATTGTAGCAAATCCAATGTAGATTGACTGAATTATTAAAATGAGTGAACATGTACTGTTATACCAGACACTGTATATACTTGTATATAAACTAAACATCAATGATCGATCCAGGCTCTTGAAAGGAAATGTAGAATTATTTGTTTGTATAATCTAACTTTAAAAGTACTTTTTTTCAGTATAAATCATTTTAAAATATAGAAAGGTTTAAAAGACATATTACTTGAAGTGAATGACAAAGTATAGTAATGCATGTCTGGATCTATCAGTGGTTAGTGGATATACACAATTAATTAGAATCTGTAAGAGTTTAATAATTACACCCTTTTTTTACATGCACTGAAATATCTAAATAATGACAATAATTTTCACTGCACAAAATAAAATAAATTACCGGCCAGAATGTTATTTTGATCTGTGTTGCACCAAACGTTTGGTACTATGCTGCTAAAATTAGTGAGGCAAGCTATGTTAGGTGAAATATGGGGTACACTGTTGTTAAAATTGTTGTTTAAATTTGTTGCAAATAAAATATGGTATTGTGTTAGCAAAGTTAGTGAAAGCAGCGATCTTGGCTGAAATTACTGGTACCATGCTAGTAAAATTATAGTGTTAGATATATTAGATGAAAATGTTTGGAACTTAAAAATCAGTACGCATAGACCTTATGCGTTAGGGCGGAGTCAGAAGGCAAAGGTTTCGTATCGTGGGCATAGGCATGAGCAAACACTTTGTGCATTGTTGTAAATACATTAATATAACAATGAACAACCTCTGAAATACATGCAACGCAAAAGGTCTATTCTTCGTCTGACTTGATTTTTCACTTGTAACTTAATGTTCCTCTTGGAAAGTGATTTTCCTCTTCTAACTTGATTTTCCTCTTCGGACTGGATCTTCCTCTTTTGTAACTTGATTTTCCTCTTCTGACTTGATTCGTGCTTGATTTTCCTCTTCTGAAACGGCCTCCCATCACCCCTTACAGCCGTCCCTAACCACCTCTTGTAACTTGATTTTCCTCTTCTGACTTGATTTTGCACTTCTATTTTGATCTTCCTCTTGCGACTTGATTTTCCTCTTTTAACTTGATCTTCCAGTTCTGACTTGATCTTTCTCTTCTGACTGCATTTTCCTCTTCTAACTTGATCTTTCTCTTTGGGCTTGATTTTCCTCTTCTGAAACGGTCTCCCATCTTCCCTTACAGCCGTCCCTTACCACCAATTGTTGTAATTTGATTTTCCTCTTTTAACTTAATTTTCCTTGTCTAACTTGATTGATAACCTATTGATGTTTGATTTTACTCTTCGGATTTGATTTTCCTCTTCTAACTTTATTTTCCTCCCCTGGCTTGATTTTCCTTTTTTTAACCTAATCTTCCTATTGGGGCTTGATTTTCCCCTTCGTACTTAATTTTTCTCTTCTAACTTAATCTTTTTTGGGCTTGATTTTCCTCTTCTGTGACGGCCTCCCATCTCCCCTTACAGCCTCCCTTACCACCACTTGATGTAACTTGATTTTCCTCTTCTGACTTGATTTTCCCCTTCTAACTTGATATTTCTCTTGGGGCTTGATTTTCCTCTTCCGACTTGAGTAACCTTTTCTAACTTGATCTTTCTCTTGCAACTTGATATTCCTCTTCTGAAACGGCCTCATATCTCCCCTTACAGCCGTCCCTTACCACCACTTGTTGGAACTTGAATTTCCTCTTCTAACTTGATCTTTCCCTCCCAACTTAATCTTCATGTGAAAAACTTGATCTTCCTCTTCTGACAGGATTTTGCTCTTCTGATTTGATTTTCCTCTTCTAACTTGATCTTCCTCTTGGGGCTTGATTTTCCTCTTCTGACTTCATTTTCCTTCTGTAACTTGAACTTCCTCTCGGGGCTTGCTTTTCCTCTTCATTGACTAAACAACAGACAAGAGCAGGCAAGTGGTAGGCACAGCTGGTTTATCAATCACCCACAGTCAAAGCATAGCTGTATATAAATACATAAACAGTCACAGCCAACCAATCCCGTTTAATCCTGCGTGAACAACTTTGCACGGACTGCATGTTGGCAAAGGAGGGTTTTAATATAATCAACAATAATGTTATCCGATTACCATTACTTAACCAAATTACCCTTTCACCTTTTTATTCGCTATTTGTTACTGCAAAGCCTTGAACACAAATTCTACCGATTCAATTTGAGTAAGTTTCTGATACTAGGTCACTAAAGAGTGACAGGCATCTCAAAATATTGAGTACAAAAAAACAGTAATTTTTTCTGTGTTTATTTTAATCTATGATATGTTTAGGAAGCAACTTAAAAGTAAAGAGATAATTTCTCAACCCAAAGTACAGTTTTCATAGTTAATTATTTTCTGAAATTCAAATCTAACGTTCTAACATGGTGTCCTGTTTGTGCTATAAACAACATTTATGAGGTTAATAACTTGTGATATGTGGTATGTGTTGGCATTAGTCAGGGAGCCCAACACTTGAAATATCCACCTACATTGTATTTGGACCAGGACTTTGGATTATAGAGAAATGACCAATTGATTAATGGGGGTCCGCTCATAAGTCCGACGCCTCATAGGTCCGACGCCTCATAAGTCCGACGCCTCATAAGTCCGACGCCTCATAGCTCCGACGCCTCGTAAGTCCGACAAATTAAATGCCTCGTTTTTCCGTTGTCGGACAAAATCGCATCCCCTAACCAAATAAAGGCCCATAAGTCCGACGCCCCATAAGTCCGACGCCTCATAGGTCCGACGCCTCATAAGTCCGACGCCTCATAGCTCCGACGCCTCGTAAGTCCGACAAATTAAATGCCTCGTTTTTCCGTTGTCGGACTTTTGAGGCGTCGGACTTATGAGGCGTCGGACCTATGAGGCGGAATAAATAAATGTTATGCCTCACAAGTCCGACGCCTCATAAGTCCGAAATTTCGGACTTATGAGGCGTCGGACCTATGAGGCGTCGGACTTATGATACGGCCCCGATTAATGTACTGAAAGACGCCGTTACATACGTTATATAAAATGTACAGAAAACACTTCAAATTTTGCTGTTGGTTAATTTTAGTTACTAAATGTTATAGTTATTACAATCAATTTGTCATTTGAAGTACAAAAATGTGCTATAATATTGTACATACCATGTTGGGAGATCTTTATTAGACATTATCCCTCCTACTATTTAAGAGGTCACAAACGGTCAAAATTAACTTCCTCACCTCTTGGCATACTGTGTACAAACCAATGGGGGTCTTGACCAATATTGACCAAAGTAATAACAAGGCTCACAATGCATGTTTTCATAGGAGGGTTCTTAATGTCGAAATATCTAATGTATCAAACAAAAGACATCACCATCCACAAAAAATGTAAAATTCTCTTAAACCACAGTGACTTATGGAAAAGACTAACAATAAACCTAATCAAAATATGATGTAAAATGTAGCCTATTTGAATAATAGTAACATGTATCAATTGTGTGGACACCAAAGTTCTACCATGCACCAATTTTCTTCATTTAGCCTATATTTGAATGTTATGAATTGAGAATAGTATACAAATATTGAATGCTTCGAGTGGTGTAGTAAAACTAGCCTCCCGAGGTGCTCCATGGACCATTCTATTTTCCCAAGGCGAAGCCGAGGGAAAATAGAATGGTCCATGGATCACCGAGGGAGGCTAGTTTTACTTCACCACGAGATAAAGCATTCAATAATTGTTTTATAACACTTCACCCACAGATTCTGCGTGAGTTTAATATTTTAAATTATTTAAATCTGAACACAGTTGAAATGAACTTCAATTTCAATACAAAATTGGTGGAAAATGTATTTCTCTCTTAAAAACTACCCCTTCACGAAATGTTTTAACCCAAGTCTGCGGCGCGCTCTCTTTGGAATAATACGCGCTACGCACAACGCGCAACGCGCACACCAGCATGCATTTGTACACAAATACCGCGCCGTGGAAATAGTACTTTGGTTGCTAATGGTATAGTACTTTGGTTGCTATGCGCATAGTACTTTTGGCTGTGCACAGAAAGATAGCAAAATTAGAAAGTAACATGTGACTCGCTCTCGGCCAATCAAGACACAGAATCTGTGGGTGAGGTGTTTTAATACAAAATGTATGTATGCATGGGTGGCGTCATTTCAAATATAGTTTAAAGCGTATTGTTTCGCTTTGCTTCACTCTATGTAGGAGGAAAAATGAAATCTTTCGTATGTAACAGTTGGACACCAAAGTAATTTGTGTTCTTGGCATGATTTTTTTTGGACATGGAAAGCACATGGAGACAATAACAAGTTTTTACAATATCTCATAACTGCTGCTGGTTCACACTTACTCCACCTTCAATCAGGACGTGTCTGTTTTTAATTCTTGTCATGCCCATTTTATGTTGTAACATGTTGGACACCAAATGTTACATTCGTTAGTTTTCACATTTCCTCATTTTTTCCCAGAAATTTCAAGTATTTTCCGAAGGAACTTTTGGTATATATAAGAAGAACCTTTTATGGAAAAAAATCAGTTGTCAAAAAGAAATAAAATTAAAATAACAGTTTATCAGGAAATAGAAGAGTTCTAACCCCTTATGTTGCAAGTCACGTTTTGGTGTCCAATTTTGTGCCCTATTTTCACGCAAAATAACTGATAAAATTTAATGCCCATGTCCAGTGGTCATAAAGTTATCTCCTTTAAAAGCAAAATACAACATTTGCAAACATCAAAAATATAAAACTACCCAATCATTTTGAAATACCTTGCTGGACTGTTAGTGAATGACAGTGTCAAGCATCCTGTAAAAATCATGGCACCTGGTATACTGTCATTTTCAAGAAAAGTGCTATTTTTGTATCAATTTCCAACGCTGGTTGGCCGACCAGCGTTGGAAAACACTGGCTTTTTTTCAAATA